GTAAGTTTAAGCTCCATGAGGGTAAGAGGGTTCAAAGGATCCAAGGTTCAAGGTTACCCTTGGTTACATAGCAAGTTTGAAGTTAGCCTGAGCTACATGAGACCCTACTTAAAAACAAAACAAAAACAAAAACCCAAAGCAAAAAAAGTTTGTTTGAATCCTTCATTTTTAAAAATTAATCTTGGAGAGCTGGGGAGATGGCCCAGTGCACAAGCTAAGAACCCGAGTTAGGACAGCCAACAACCACTTTAAAAGACCCTGCTTATGCAAACAACCCTATGTAAAATCAGTGACTTGACAAGAGTTGAAAACAATACTTGACAGGGTTGGAAGATGGACACCCCTCCATGAGGACTCCTACACCCCCTTTGATAATACAGATCCAGTGATCCAAGACTCTAGCAGGTACTACTTAAAACTTGGGCAGCTCCTGAAAGTGCCAAGCTGGAGACCACGTCTTTAACCCATGGATCTTTAGGAGACATTTGAGATCCAATGACAGTACAGAGGATACAAATATACAGCTGGCTTCTATGAAACGATTGAAGCCGTTTCCCCTTCTTTTCTTGTATGCATGTGTGTTCACCTGTATAGGCACACATGCATGCTAAGAAGTAAGGTTAATGTTGGTAAACTTCCACAACCTCTCTTCCTTTATTCTTTTGAAGCACAGTCTCTTAACCCAGGGCTGCCCAATACCGGCGAGGCTCATGGTAGCTTGTTTCAGGGATCTCTCCCTAAAGAGGCTAGAATTAAAGTGGGCTGTTATGCCCACCTGGTATATGTCTGGGTTTGGGGATCTGGTGTGTGTGTGTGTGTGGTTTTTTTTGCAAGACAGGGTTTCTCTGTAACTTTGGAGCCTGTCCTAGAACAAGCTCTTGTAGACCAGGCTGGCCTTGAACTCAGAGATCCGCCTGCATCTACCTCCTGAGTTCTGGGATTAAAGGCGTGTGCCACCACCGCCCAGTTGGTTTGGGAATCTGAATTCCCATTCTTCTGACTGCTAAGCAAAAGTTGTAACTGAGTCCACGTCAAGTCCCCATTCTGCTAATGCTCTTAGATATTTCCCCTCATCAAAGGCTGTCGACCCTGGAGACTATCAAAAATAGTTTCTTACATTTCACTGTTCTGTGGAATAAAGTTCAAGTATAGGTGGAAACTACCCAACAGCACATTTAAAACTTTATACTCCCAGATTCAAGCTCATGCCAACCCCTTTCAGCCAACCTTCCAAGGTTCTTCAGTACTTTCTAGGGTTTACTTGCAGGTAATGTCCTACTTGTACTACCTGAAGAAAACCATGGTCGTGAAGAAGTTTCCCTGCTTAACTTCAACACTCTGTTATTTATGTTTTCTGCCTTTATTACTCTGGTTCTTCGTAACTATGTTGGGAAGGGTATGTCCATTACGTCTCCATAATGACACTGTGACAGGATTGCTGGTTGAACTCCTTTGAGAGTTGTCAGGAAAAATGAGCAGAGGGAGAAACTGTCCTCATAGATTACTATGCCTTACCTGTACGTAAGAACCTGCTGCAGAGAGCTAGGAGGAAAACAAAACCCACAACATACATTATGTAAACAGGGCGGTGGGAGCCCTGGGGTTTCTAAGGCCCGTTCAGGACATGGACAAACTATTCTCATAATGAAAAAGAGGAGATTCTTTCACTCACTCCCAGGTATCCAGCCGAGGTTTCTAGAGCAACACATTATGTGATGCATCGTTACTCTGACAGCTAATGGATGTGTGCTTTGTATTCTTCTGTTTTATGGGATTTTCTAAGGAAAGCTCTTGGGAATCATCAATAACCTCCAGAAAAGAGTACAAAGGTATACTGAGAGATCAAGCACTTCTAGCATACAGTGAGAAACAAAGCAAAGCAATTGAAAAATTGCTATTTCAAAGCAAAATAAAAAGGCCTCTGCATTGTTCTTCATATTCTTCCTACCAACCCAATCTATAACTAAAGCTTTCTAATATGTTAAAAACAAACAAACCAACCAACCATGAAAGGAACTATAAACAGCAGAGTCTACTCTCTAGGGTGATCTACACAAGTCTCTTGGGGCACAGCATGGCTTTACATACTTGGTTGCTGCCTGAAAATATCTAATTTCAGGCAATAAGAATTCTTATTTCTTTAACACACAGTCATATTTATGCTCTGAAATACTAACAGTTCCACTTTACTCTCAAGAACACTGCTTGAATTACAGGGAAAACCACAGACAGTATCTACTGTCTTGAAAATCTTCTCCTGGACATGTTCAAAGTTAACTTGGATATGCTCCCTCAGGGTAGAAGCTCAATTCTTACCCATGGCTGCTTGTTTCAAAGTAGTCTCTCAAGCACTGATTAAGGGGTCTGGGTAACACACTAAAGCTGTATCAGACTAATTTGCCTGTCTTACTGGGAAAGCAACCAACTCAAAGAACATACCTTGCCATTAGAAAAGTTGTATTCAGCCAAATACATTATAGGAATTAAATATTTAAAACTATTTCTGTGGAACCAAAATTTTTCAGGCTGCTTATGTTTGGGGAGCAAAACTTAGTGATAGAAAGAGAGCCATTTTAATAAGGCATTCAGACAGACCCTTAGAAACCAGAAGACTGGAAAATCAAATTTCAATTATTTATGGTTACAGGAGGGAAAGACTATCACCAACTAACCTGGAAAAATAATTAAAATATATTCTTGTAGCAACTTCAGGTCAGAGATCTTTTATAGAAAATACAGAATACTGAGTACTTGGATTATGTGCCTGCCCTTTAAATTAGGTGCTAGAATAGGGAAAACTGACGACCTAGAAGACAAGATCTACCTCAATGATGCATAGAATAGCCCATGGATCACAATTTTGTTTTGTGGAAGCTAATTGTGTTCTTAATATCACTCCCTTCTTTCTGAGCTTAGCCAGCCTTACTTCTTACTCAAAAAATCACAATGGAAGGAATTTAAGTAATATATATATCAGATGCCAGCACACACACTTAAGTCTCTTGATTTTTTTGGCAAATAATTTAGGTAAAAATAACCATTTAAATTGAAACAATATATACAAAGAACCTAATCAGACACTGTTTCTTTTCTATCAATTTCACAAAAGGATAGTAATTAAATTAATGCTGACACCTAGTGACAAGAAAGAACATTTGCATTTTGTGTTACTTGGATTGTATTTTCTGAAACCAATGAATCTAAAACCAAAGATCCATCTAAGGCCACAGAAAAACCCAGGAACATTAGGTAAAGAAAGGAAAGAGATCTCCTTGTTTCCAAAACCGTATGTGCAAGTATAAACTGGCTGGGAAGTGGGAATGGGAGCACCAGAGGAACTCCTGATGAAAACATCTTAAATGATAAATCTGTAACACTAGGCCAGGAAAAAAAAGTTTAAGATAGAAAAACGAGTTCTAACTGACAGGACACTCATCTGGCAAGTTCAAGGCTGAGTTTCACTCCAGGGCAGTGAAAAAAACAGTAACAGACACACAACAAACAAACAAACAAAAATGAATGAAAGAAGAAAGAAAAACTGAGGAAAATGACTAATACAGAAATAAAACCCAGTTTTTCTCGACACTTAACAAAACAACTGCGAACATCCCAAGGTTCCCAAAGCCATTGTCTGGCCGACCGGCTCAGTTCAGTCAAATGCTATGCCCAAACGCCATGTACATAAAGCAAAAATCGTGCTCAGATGCCAGTCTTTATAAAATATAAAGTAATATTTATGATTCCACATCAAATTCTAGGATGATGTTCTGAAAATCAAGGACACTGTATTCTGAAATACCTACTCCCAACTGAAGAAATTTTCCCATTCTGGAGACTGGCATGGTTGAACTGCTGTATGGACCAGGGGAAAACACACACACACACACACACACAACCTGCCCACCGTTTGAATGAACGATTACAGGCTGTTGGATGCTGATTTCCTCCGAAATGCGATTACCATCCATTTGGAGCTGAAGTACAGGTCTAAAATATGGCATATGGATTATTTAAGAAGGTGCTACACACAGCACATTCAGGAAGAAGTCTTTGTCCTTTTATAAACAATTCCGAAGACATCAAGTGACTACATAGAACGAGCTCGTAATCACTTCAAAATGTTCACCTCCTTCAATTTCCTGACTACTTAAAGGATAAATTCACTGGAAGGAAGCGAGAGACCTCCGTTCTAACCATGGAATTCACCAAATCCTCGGTCAAATCAAAGGCATTTTTTTTTCTTTTTAAATCTCTGATAGAACGTGTTATTTTTAGGGTATAAATAAACCACTCCGACGGCGGGGGTGGATGGGCTTGAAGCACTTGTTTAAAAAATGATAGCAAGACCTGGGGGAGGCGGGTAACAGCTTGTCGAGGGGCAAGTTGCTCCATTCACGATGGCTAGACAGGAAGTGACAGGGAGGCAAAGCCGAACTGGTCATCTCCCAGGGCTTTACTTAGCGGTCAGCTAAGGCTCGGGTTAAAGCCACGAAAACACTATGCAATTTTAGAACTTCGACGGGGGTTCGCGGGGAAGGGGACGGGGGTGGGGTGGGGGATAGACCAAACCTACTGCATCCTTTTCAACCAGGAAGCTTGGGCGGCTGGAGTAACAATACACTAGTCTTGCAACACAAGCCCAGTAGCTGGGATCCTCTGCCTACTTGGGGAGTGTGCTCCCGAAAAGCCGGGCGCTGGGGACGGGGAGGGAAGTCAAGGCAGGTCGCCAGCCCCCTCGGGGATCCCTGCTCCGCCGGGCGGCGGGCAACAAGCCTCAACTCCGTTACTTCTCGCCGGCGGACGCGTCCCGGGCTGGGGGCGAGGAGACCCCTAAAGGCGCGGAGCCTCGCCCGCCAGGGACTCAGGATGCCGGTGCAGAAGCAGTAGAAGCAGCCGGCCGGCCGGCCCCAGGGACACTGCCCGGCAGCAGGAAGGGGTGCGCTCCGGGTCCCGCGCCGGCCGAGGGTCGCGGAGGTCCCGCGGGGGGCGGGGAGGCTCACCAGGCGGAGTTGGCTAATTTCGTCGTAGGACATAAAGCTGAGTATGTTCTCGATGGCTACGATGGGCAGCGCCACCAGTGTGTTGTTTTGAGGCAGGTGGTCCGGAGCCAGCGCGGGCGCCGCGGGTGCCTGGGAGCCCAGCTGCGGGGCCTG